GCTTTTCCCAATCACAATTTACTGAAGTTATTAGAGAGGAAGTTTTTTGTCTGTTATTTGGGATTTTTTGTGGTTTGTTTTTGGTTGGTTGGTTGGTTTTGTTTAGTTTTGTTTTTCTAAAGACAGAAAGTTAGTTTACTACTAAAACAAATCTTGGTCCTACATGACTGGCTAGCAACTTCCAATATTCTGCATAGATTTACTTTACCTTTTGACATCAAACACCAATTACTGCAGTACTATTCTTAATATAAGTGACAGGATTTTAATAGGTTAGAATGTAGCCTGTAAAGAACTGAAATTAAAAAAATTAGAATATTTAAACACCCACAATTAAGTTAAAAAACAAACAAAAGCAAAGCCATTTGCTTTACATATATCTCTTGTTGGTATTTTAACTTCATAAGAATAGGACTTACTGTCAGCTAAGGTCTGAAAACAATGTTGGGCTTCTGCAAACATTTGTGAAGACTGAACTGCTAACTTGTTTTTTTCTTTTTCTACTTCCTTGCTTTTCTTCTTTCCAATTTCTTTCAGCTCTGCTTTTTCTATTAAGCAAAATAAAGATTAAGTTTTTTCTTTTTCTTTACAAACTTTTACACTACGTAAAAGTTTTAATGACATTTTAGATATTTTTTTAAAAAATCAACCACAAACTATTCCAAGTCAGAATAGTTGAGATATGAAAAAGAACTAATGTAGTATAAAAAAAATACAAAAAAAAATTCTTAAGATGTAAATGCAGATTTACTGAGAAGTCTCCAGGAAGGCTCTGGTCCCACCTTCCAGTTAGTGCAAAACTCTCATGTCCTACTATAATGTTTGTAATTCCTGAATTCCTTGCTTTGTGCCAAATACTTTCTTCATATCCTTGTTCCTGTGCATCAGTAAATTCCAAAAAAATGTAACATAGATGAGGTACAGGTTTCCAATGGACATGGAGCAAGAAAGCCTTCCATACTCTGAACCTTCTTTCAAGCCTTAAAACTTAGACTATAAGAAAATAAATTTCTGACAAAAAAATCCCAAATATTAATAGAGCATCTGAACAGAGCTTGTAGCCTTAAAGTTGGAGATTACAGAGCTGTATTGTAACCTAATGCTTCCTTGATTCTTAGCTGTTTCTGTTACTAATAGAATTTCTAAATCTTAGGCAGGAATAAATTCACATTTTCTGGGAATAAATTACAGCATCCTGTTGGATGAATGACAGTGCTGTTCCCAGTGGCTGCATCCCTGTGCACGTCCATTGCAAACTCTAAAACATGTATTGCATTGCTGGGTGGGTCAGAAAATGATAGCAAAAATTCCTAAGAATAGAGAATACCGCCTCAGTCAGGTCTCTTCTAATATTTTTATAAAACTTTTGACATTAGGACTTAGTATTTGGGATTAATTTGGCAGAGATTATTTTGAAAATCTAGGAAGAAATAGAAATTTTAGTATATGATTTGTAGCTTCCAAAGACATTGAAGTGTTATGAAATTCATCCATGCCTTCAAGTTAAAAACAGCAACTAAGAAAAATCAATCTCAAATATAAACATTGAAGAATAATATACTGGAGCAAATAAATTATTAAACCTAAGTTTTTTCATTTAAATGTAAATAGGATTAGTAGCTCTTGAAGAAAATTAATACCTATACCTAGTAACATAAACAGAAAAGTTGCTATAAATAAAAATGCAGGTAGCTATTACTTGTCAGAACCCCCTGTAGCTAATCACACTTTATAACAGCCATTATGCAATGTATAATTTGTCGATGGTCAGAGTAGTGTTGCCTTTGAGGAAACTATAACCTCTCTGACTGTTCTCCCTCTGCAAGGAACCAGTCTTTAGAGAAATGGCTGTGGCACAGAGCTGAACAAATCTCTACCACCAAATGAAGCTGTTTTCACAAAATAAGAGACTAACCTATAGTTAAAACAAAACTTTTCTGAATTTAAACTACTGCAACATGTTCAGTGAAGCAACAACAAACCCACGGAGTTGCATGTGGCATAATAAAGACATACAAATTTGAAGACAAAAGTTATGTTAACTTCACTTATGCTTGGCCTACAAAGATAACACTACCTAAAATTACAGACCTTTGCCACTTTTCTCATGTTTCTCTGCTTTCTCATGTTTATCTGACTGCTTATTCACAGATAAAACTTCATTTTTTAACTCTGATCCATTGGTCTCTTTAGGTTTTCTGTCTGACTGATGATTATCAAGTTCTGGAGTTTTCTTATTTGGTAACTTGAATTCTGGCACAATCTTTTTCAAAAAGCTCCAGACTTTGTCCAAGTATCCAGACCTTTAAAAAAAACCCACATGTATATGTCAATGATAATGATAATTGCAATAAGAAAAGAAAGTATTATTTTCATTTAGACAACACTATAACACAACTGACAGTCCAGAAAAGTTACTGGGTTATTTTATAAATAGAACACAATTGCTTGATTTTCTCTATCAGCCAGTTAAGAGACAGGTTATGGACAGACCCATAAAGAAAGAGATGATGGTTAGAGAGACACTTAAATAAGGCATCGTTTCTCAAGCTTTTTAGTAGATAAAAGTTGGTGCAGGGAAATTTGCAGGCCATTTTGCAGCTCCACTGAATAATAACTTGATTCTGACTCTGTACATTAAAAACCTTCTCAAAGGTACTTCCAAACTAGGTTTTCTTAACTGTTTCAGCACAGGTACTTCCATGTCTCATTCACTGATACCACCAGCTACAACAGCTTTTTGATATGACGTAAGAGTTGCAGCCATACTGGTCTCCACAGAAACTCAGTGATAATCTAAAGCTGAATTAATTGTTCAGGGCCATGAATAAGCTCCATGCAAGCTAATTGCATGCAATCTTAAAGAAAAAAAAGAAAAAAATATTATACAATGAGCAAAAGCCATCTAACACTACTGTTGCAAAGGCTTTCTGGTATTCACATTTTCTTACTCCAGAATAACATATATTTGTAGTAACTGTCAGGGTTGTGAATACTGGTTTTTGCTGTTGTAAAACTAACTACATAAAGAAACAAAATTTAGGTTACTTAGATTTCTAAGTCCATGGGCTACATACACAATACTGCAAGACATAAAAATATCAAAAACCTAAATTGCAAGCATAGTTTGTGACATAAAAATTGCTGAAATAAGGGCTAAAATAGCCTTTGACAGAACTTATTTAATACTGGAATACTGCTATAAACAATTATACCTAAATAAATTATATATAGACCAAACCCATTTGTTACATATGCATTCATTAGAATGTACACACCAAAAAGCAAAAAAGGCTAATTTAATAAAGAGTGTCTAAATAGGTAGTGCCTGTATCCCAGTCATTCATTCAGTAAAAAGAATGTTAAGCTAGAAAATTAGAATGTCTGTTGTTTAAAACTACAAAATGGTCTTAAAACAAAGGGAACAAGAATGTTAATGTAGATTGGAAATACCATTTTTGGTTGTAAATAGATGTATATCAACTTTTCCAGTTTAAAAGGTGAAAATGTCATATTAGCTGAAGTTGATTACTTCCAGAGTAATGATGTATATTTTCTACAGTACATTCAGATATAAAGTTATTATTATTACTGGCAGAGTTTTTTAAAATTTGAATAGTAGATGAAACATAAATTTCTCTAACCCTGTTTTCACCACAGTCTTTAATATTAGTTAAAAATAAAATAATTTTATAAATAGGCAACAGCTTCACATGATAAATAGCTTTACAAGTAACTATGTAGCCTATAAAGAACAGTAAAACAAAATTGCAATCCCTGAAGGCACATTTCTCAGTAAAAGCAAAAAGCATACACTTTCCAAAATTGATGCTAAAAGACTTCTAGGGCTCAGCTTTATTTTTTCATAATGTCTTATATAATTAAATATAAAACAACTAATATGTAAATTGTTTAATAAAAGAACTTACTGGAGAGGAATAACTTCTGGTATCCAACCAGTCAGTGTATGTACAACTGTGAATTCCTCCAGCTCTCTTTTTCCAGTTTCATGTTTACTATAAGGTAAAAGCAGACATTACACAGAGATATATTATAATCAATTTGCAGTAAACTCTGTAATCTACATTGCTTTCTGTAGGAGCAAGATCATAGACAAACAGAATGTCTTGCAGAAAAACAAGTAGTTATTTGCAACTTTAGTTTTCCAGTGCACTGCTAACTACTAGCACACAAAGTCAAATTTACTATTATGTCTGTGAATCAGGCATATTGTTTTAGTGTTTCCTTCAGTACAATAGCATAATTTCAACATTTTTAGCAAGCATATTGTGTATACTTACACACTGTAAAGCCTCTTTTCGTAGGGTTGGAAAAGTGGGTATGAAATCCCTCACACTAGAAGGGGATATAAATCCAGAACTTGCTTTTCCTGAGCAGCTGCTCTAAATCCCTGGTTATTATGCAAAAGCTGGCTGTATTTCTAGTGTACCACACTCTGCTCTTTCAAGTTGATATTGTTTCCTACTATCTGAAGGGATTTCTGTCTGTACATACTGAGAAGACAAAACTAAAGATGGCAGCACATGGCCATGATTAACCCTTGTGTTCTGGAGAAACACAGTATTTCAAACACGTTCCTGTAAACAGAGTTTCCTAATGGGCAGCTCTAAGCAACTCCTTGGCCTGTGTGGCAGTACTGTGATCATTTTTTAAAAAAAAAAACAAAACACCAAATATGACCAGAATAGGGAAGTTTGACTACACAGATCAGTGTTTTGAATTATTTTCTGAAGCTTAGTCATTTAAACACTTGGTGTTTGTTGCTCATCTCATGGGAATCTGTCACCATAATTGTCAATCATTTGCACCATGGGCCACCTTCTACTTTCCAGGTCAGTTTTACGGAAGTGGATCACCATATAGCCCACATCAGGAAGGCAAAAACATGAAAAGTTGTTTAGAATACCCTATTTTCAAAACTGGTTAAGTCAATAGTAGTTAAGGTTGACAATTAAAACTTCATTAAAACTTCATGGACATTTTCATTTGCAGAAAACTGCAAGTGAAGCTATTTAGAGACAATGGCAAACAGATAAAGGAAACAGGGAGAGCACTCCAGTTTCTTTGTAAAGTCTTTTGTGCATGAATGTAGAAACACACATTTATAAAGGAAATACTGCACCTTCTGTAGCTACAGAGGAGCTTGCTTTACTGATTTACTGTGTCATCTTTCAGAAAAGTGTATATTGGTCATTACAAAGATATATTTTGCTAAAATTTTTCACATGTATACTGAAACAACTTTTCACAGATTCCAAGTAACTTTGCTAAACAAACCAGATTTGCCAAAGTGAGCTGACTAAAACTTACCTAATATTTGCCAGCTTAATGATAGCTTTGGACAGCAACATTGGCCAAAGTTCAGTTTGACAGGTTGTAGCTGGTAGTAACAAGTTATCCTCTTCATTGAAAGGCATACTGTCATCCACAATGATCTTTCTCCAGCATCCCTATGATAGAGGGTGTGGGAGGAAAGAAGAAAGAAAACAGAGTTTGTGGGCTGGCAACAGAACACCTACATAGAGAACTTTTAACGCTTTCCCAAGAACCCAGTTATACTGTAATTTGATTGCTTTAAAAGAACTTCTCATATAATATCTGAAAAGCCTGCAAACAGTATTCATAGCATTTTATTACTGCTCTTACTTATGTCAGAGATTAATCTAATTGCAGCTATATCCAAATATATTTCCTCTCATATGTGTAGTCCCTCATGCGCATGCATTCATTGCTGTTTGTTCAGCTGTCATGACAAATGCCTGAGAAACAGTAATGATTGAAAACAGGCTTAACTAATGTTAGCAGGTTCCCTTTGTTTCCCCAGAACTACCTGGGGATGCTCACTGCCATGGTTAGTGTCCTGGAAAGCGTTAAGATCGTATTTTATAAAACACTATAGGAAATACCACAAAATGACACAATGTAACAAATATCTTTATTTCCAGAATAAGAAACAAACTGGTAAGAGAAGATATTGATGTCTCCAATACCAGATATTTCATTAGTAAATTAAGCTAGTATCTCACAAGATAATCTTGCCTACCATTCTCCAAAAAAGTCTCTGTCCTAGTGATTAAGACATGAGAGGCAAAAGAATTAGTGCAGCAACAGCAAGTACTTTTGTAAACAAACCCACAAAATGATGAAGAATGACCAAACCACTAAAATGTTCACCATTCTTCATCAGAGAGGGCAAAATTACTCCACTCTGCTTGTAACTGAACTGTGGCTTCAAACTGAAATGCCCACTGGTTAACTCTACCTGAGTTCTATGGGTCTCAGAAGAAAACAAATTTAGGACATATGGCAAAGATACTGAATAAGCTCGAGGTGTGAATATTTTTTAGAATTAAAACTATTTGCTGACAGCCAAAAATAAATTTTTAAGATTTGCCAAGTTTTAAAAGGACCTAGTAAGTGAAATGATCATATATTCATCTTCTCTTTCAGTAATTGCTGAAGTTTAACAGAGAAGAGCAGTACAAGTTGAAAAGTAAAGGAAAAGATAGAGTTTCACTTGGTTTTCTGTAGCTTAATCTCTCCTTCTCTCTTAATCTTGAGTATTAATTATGTGCATGTAATTCTTAAAAGACAATAGTATTTTTGAATATGTAGCACCATTGACATTTTTTCTCCTCCTTGCCAATTGCTCATCTTTTATATTTAATAAATAATAGAATGCCTATCACCATTATTTTGCATCAGTGATAACCTTTTAATAACATTTCACTATTAACTCTAAAACCAATTATGCTGATTTATGGAGATAAGACAGCAACAGAAAGAAAGAAAAATACACGGTTTATGGATAAAAAAAGAAATCTATAGGTGAGAAGTGGAAATAAAGGAACAAATTCAATAAACCTCAGGAATACAAAGTGAAAGCAGGGTGTTGGGGTAGGACACAAAAAATAATGTGACAATCATGTGAAAAATGATTATCCACAGGTTTGATCTGGTGGATGGAAATCCCCTCAGGACTCAATAAAGCATTTTACTGCAACCAGTTCATTATTCCTCCACTGTGCTTTCTCTCCCTTTTCATTTAATTTTCCACTTTCTCCTGTGAAATCTGTTTCTTCTCTACCTCTACTGATACTTGTCTTTTCTCATTTGCACATTTTCTTTAATCTTCCACCATTTGACCCTCATTTTTTCCCCTTTTATTCTTTCTATGAAAAAAGGTGTACAACCAGAGGACAAGAAATGAAATAAACCCAAAGGCCCAAAACAAAACAAAAACAAAGCAGAAGTGGCAAAGAAACTAAAACACCCTGATATCTCTCATAGCTGCTTTAAAATGTAGTCTTTTATTACATGAATACACAACCTCTGCAGCATTAAATACACACAGAATAACGTCCTCTGCTGAAGAACCTGAGTAACATAATTTCTGCCTTCTCAAATACATGCAATACTTATTCCCTATGTTAATATAAGTTCTTGTGCATGTAGAGGGAGTAGTAAGGGATGAGGAAAGCACAGGCATGTAAACCAGCTAAGTGCTCCCTCTTACAGGAAACATGAGATTCTTCTAGTTTTAACTGCTTTCCTATTTCTTCCTCAGTGCTGCCTAGCTGACATGTATCAATAGCAAGATACACGAAACTTCCTTTTAAATATCATATTTGCTCTATACTGTGTTAGAACCATTCTTTTTAATACAAATACACGGTGTAGGATTATTTAAAAATCAAATTAATATGCTCAAGGTTTTATTCCCTCTCAAGAGACATGTATTAAACTGCAACGCACGTTAAGTGCAGCCATTCAAAAGCTCTTCCTGGCTTTGATTGTATTTATGTTCATTCCAAAAAGTAGACAGATTTATAGACAATTTAACAAGGTGATGGAGAAGTAAAATCAATCCCTCCTTAATTTTATTCAGAGGAAGTTTTTATGCTATAACTACTAAAGTAAGGGTTTCCAGCACAGAAATAGAACATGAGCAATTTTCCAGGGATCATGAAAGTGTTTGAGTAATTATTTTGTATTTGTAACTGTAGAGATTTCTGAATCTAACTGCACCAGGGTGTTTCTAAGTAACATGCTGCATGCAAATGCAAGGTTTTCTCCACACCAACATGAACCTTGGCCAGCTTATCCATCCGAAGCACTGGTCTCTCCAGCAGCATCATCTGCCGCAGATGTGATGCAAGTTCCTTTACTTTGAAGTTCTAAAAGTATTGTGGGACGGGAAGTTTGTGCCTTCTCCTTTTGTAGAGCAATGCCAATTATTTCCTATAATGGCAAACTGAACACTTGCCATCAAGACAATTAGGAAAACAAAATCTCTTCCCTTTTCACCAAATTATATATATATTCTCTTTCTCTCCTTTGACACATTTTTCTGTCTCCTATTGTTATGCATTTAAGAGTGTTGCCCTTGGGTAATCTGACCTGGACTTTTACAGTCCATCTTCCAAATCTTTCCATTAATCACATCAGTGCTTTTCACAAACACAGCCCTCGCAAAACTTCTTTCTTCTCATATTTAAGAGTTTCATTCTTATAGTTCTTGTTGCTCTTTCTTTTGACTGCCTCTTATTGGCTGAGAACATAATCTCAAGAGACCTCTATTTTTCAAATTTATTTTTAGCGTAAAAAATCCTGGGTATCCATGGTATCCCGGGGTGCATTAAGAAGAGTGTGGTCAGCAGGTCGAGGGAGGTTATTCTCTCATTCTACTCTGCTCTAGTGAGGTCACAACAGAAGTACTGTGTCCAGTTATGGCCTCCACAGTTCAAGAAAGACATGGAACTACTGGAGAGAGCCCAAGGGAGGGCTATGAAGATGATGAGGGGACGGGAGCATCTCTTTTATGAGGAAAGGCCGAGACACCCGCATCTGTTTAGCTTGCAGAAGACAAGACTGAAAGGGGATCTTATTAATGCTTAAAAATAACTAAAGGGCAGGTGTCAAGAGGATGGGGCCAGACTCCTTTCAGCGGTGCCCTGCCACATGACAAGGGGCAACGGGCACAAAGTGGAACACTGGAAGTTCCATCTGAACATGAGGAAAAAATTCCTTACTTTGAGGGTGACACAGCACTGGAACAGGCTGCCCAAAGAGGCTCTGGAGATATTCAAAACCTTCCTAGATGCTATGCTGGGCAACCTGCTCTAGGTGAACCTTCTTTGACAGGGGGGTTGGACTAAATGATCTCCAGAAGTCCCTTCCAAACCCTACCATCTTCTGTGATTCCAATTTTATGTCTCCAACTGATTGTGTCAAAATTATGTTCAAGTTTGGGTAACTGGAAGTTTAATATGGTCAATTATATGTATTAGTGGTTTGTGACATTTTCTGTTTGCAAAAGACAAATGTAACCAGAATAGCCCTAATAATATAGACAACTTCTAACTTTTAGGTCAGTGACTCTTTCTTGGTTTATTAATATGAGGCTCGATATTAAGTGTTTTCTGTTGACTGTAAAATGTGTTAAGAAGTTATTGGCTGTTATTTTTAGAAATTCATGGGATATTTTGGTTTTTTATCAGTAAATCTTCAACAAGTGGTCCTCACATTGGAAGTCTTTCATCTCCTTTGAGTACAATTGGATACAAATAGCCCTGTAAAGTCAGCCACTTGTCAGACTCTACTAAACATTTGCATCAGACTTCCATGTTTTACCATTCACTACACAAGAACAGAAATATTTTCCTATTATCTCAAAATAGTTAATGCATGCACAAAAAAAAAAAAAGAATCAGAGGGTGTAATTAAGACTGAAACAAAAAATGGGTAAAATTTGTTGAGTGAGAATTTAAATAATACAGTTTATAATGCAGTGCTAACCTCAGTCTTCATGTTTTTCTTTCTACCAAAAATGAAATGAAACATATCTTCTTGTTTAGTAAAAGCCAGCCATCACTGAGAATTGAAGTGGTAAAAAAGAATTTCTATTCAGGTCACACACATATATGATGCTTAGGATGGTCAAAACATTTTGAGACACAGAGTAAAAAAACGCCTCAAAATATCAACAAGATGCACTTTCATAAAACAAAAAGGTGTAAGAAAGAAACGAAAGTGACAAAAGAAAGAAAATTTCTGTAAATGTACCAAATCAAAACAAGTTTACATCAGACTATAAGAGGACACGTGATTTAGAAATCAAACCCTGTAAAAATAGGACGTCAGATATCATATGCCACTCAAAGAAACTACAAATGGTGAAAATTAATCATGTTATAAAACAGCATTACTTTAACCACTCACTATATAATACAGAATGAACCAATTATTTTCTGTCAAATGCATTGAAATTGTGCTTAGGGCTAAGGACTGACACTGAAAAGTGCTGTCTGACACACACAAAAAAGTTACAACTATCAAAAAAGAAAACTTATGTCAATAGATAGTTTGAACATATGCGACACTAGCAAGTGTCATGATTGAATCCTTTTTCTACAATGCTATACACAAATTAACTCAAATGTAGTATCGTGTTGCAGTGCTCTCACAAAAAAGCACCCAAACTCCTAGCAATCAGCAAAAATCTACATAATCTATGAAAGAATAATATTGTCTTTTCAAGTAGTAACTCTTTTTTCTCAAGTTCTAAGTAGTAGAAAAATCACATAAACTGTAAAAGGCATTTTTATTAACATGCATTAACAATTTGTCAACAAATCGATCCCTATAAATTAATATAATTTCAATAATAATAAATACATTAACCATTAAAATTTGTCATGCTATGTGCATAGTATTTCTATATTGTTGGAGGCAAGTACTCACCATCCAATAAAGCTTCACTACGTATTTTCCATAGCTATTGTACAGTGGCATGTGTCCCTTGGTAGCTTTACATAAGGCATAAATGTGTTCCCATGGTTTCCAAAAAAGTGTGGATGTTTCATTAGTTAGGGTCTTCTCATTATATACCCTCCAGACTACATAGATTTCACTTATAATCCATCTCATTAGCTGAAAAGAGAGAACAATCGAAAAAAGAAATTTTTCAACTTACATCTTTTAGAAAAATGAAATTAAGTTATATTATAATGATCAAAGAATTAAAAAGATCCTGTTTTAAATGAAGCAGTGACACAGAAGTACGGCTATGATTTCATGCAAAAATTAATTTCACTGGTATAACTTTTCTTAAAATCATCATAGTGTCTATCTTCAATAACACAAAAAATCATGAAACTATGTAAATGCACAACAAAAATTATGCTGTTCTTTACCAAAGAAAAATGAGGACATATTGTTTCAAAATAAATTATGTTACAGGACTTGTGTTACAGAACTGTAACTTGTTTAATGACTACTACTAGACATAGCTGCTAAAAATCAGTATTATCTTTAACACTTGCTATTTGTACTCAGTAAAAAACAATCCTAAATCATTACACGTATTTAATAATTATAAAAACTTAAAATAGAAGCTTTAACTTATCATGCTTAATCATGCTTAGTGTATGTGTTTTTCTAACAGATTCTAATAGATTTCTGATGTATGCTATAAATCCACAAGTAATACTAGACTGTTACGGTGATTTATAAAAACAAGAATGAGAATAAGCTTTTACTACAAGAAACTTGCCCTAAAATTAATAAGTGGTTCTGTGGCACCAAAATTTACATAATATGTTTTCTGTGGCTTCTTCCCAGACAATTTCTCTGGTGCTGAATTTAAAATCTGCATTGAAGTTGCATGAAATCAAAATTATGAAGTAATATTATATTCAGTAAGGTATTCAGATGCCTTAGTTCTACCTGCTTTATATTTTCCCCTGATCTGTAGAAATTCAGTAAACATTTATTCAACTCTGGACAGAAGGAAAAGACTGGCTAGGTGGCAGATATTTACACATACATGCAGGCACACTTTGAACATGACTTCAGGAAATCTTGGATGAAAAATAGATATCCTTTCTATATAGCTATTATTTGCTCTTACCATTAGAGACTATTATCCAGTTATAAACTTTGTAATTTGTAGACTGTATATTACAAAAAAAATACAAGTTTGAAAATGTCTTACCGCCATTGACTTAATTTTTCTAATTCTATAAAAGGTAAACACTAATTACACAAATCAAGATGATTTCTTGGCATTTTATTCCCATCATTCTTTTTTCACTTAAAAAATTTGTCACAACTTATTCATGGTAGAATTTGGAATTAAATTCAAATAGTTAAAAAAAGTTAAAAATATGAGAGAAAATATTTTTTAAAAGGGACAGTAATGTATTTCTACTTACCTCACTACAAAGTATATGCTCATTTGCTGAAAAAAGGTCAAATGAGGTTTCATTTTTGACAACCACAGGAATCTAAGAGAAAGTAAATTAGTTTCCAGTAAATTATCTGGAAAAAAATAAATGAGCACTAATGTTTAGCAATAGTGACATACAAATGTTAGACATTTGCAAACTAAAAGCCATCAGTTTGCAAATTTTGCAGCTGCTTGTGTAGCTGTGTCTTAAAACGTAGATATTCAGAATTTAAAAAGAAACACTGTTTTACTAAGACAGTCAAAGAGTATCAAATGAAATAATTGCACAGGCAAATTGAGATTCCCTCAATTCATTCATAATATTTGCAGTTCTGCATTTAAATCATTATCCCAACACTGTCTCATATTTTGAGGTTTCCTTGCCCCTCCCCGCCCAAGATACAAAGGGATTTGTTTTCTCTTAGTTAGACAAGGGGTATCATCAGTTTAAGCACTGACTTCATCAAACCTTTGACTATATTACATAGTTTTGATGACTATTACTTGCTTATACAATCCATTTTCTTTTTGTAAGCAGTTTAGAACTAACATACTAGGATTGTGGTTTATTGAACTAAATGAATCTGTGCCTTTCATTACTTATTGATGATCATTGCTCGATTCTTTGCTTATCACACTAAACAAGCTTGTTTACACTTTTTTTTACAGTTGCTAATAAATAGATTAGGTAAGGACATATATCAATTTCATCACTTGACATTTACATTAATTTTTAACAACTCATAAAATTTCTAGTAATCATGGCTTCTTGATTAAAAATACACCAACCAAAGCAAGCATCAAAGTTTTAATCTGGCCTTAAAGAAAACAAATACTTTCTTCACAGTGCTCTGAAGATAGATTGTAAAAGCTATTTTTAATGCAGATACATGTTACCATGGCTTTCTGAGCTGTCAGCTCTCTTGCCCTCATCTTTCAGATACCTCTAGTCAGTTTATGCATTTTGGCAGCATTTCTCATCCAATCTTTTCGTCTTGTCAATTACTACCCTGACCTCCCCCTCGCCTTCCTCAATTAAAAATTAAACTTGGACCCGTTTAGTGTCTAGTTAATAAAGAATGGAACTGACAAGCTGACAAAAGGAAAGCTGACAAGCCTGAAAAAGTTGGAAGGGTGGTCAAAGTGTTTTAAAACTTCAGCATTTCATCTAAAGCAAAAACACATAAAAACTTAAATTAGCAACAGCACTGGAACACTAACCTTTGAAATGGTAGGTTGTTTATTTTCTTTGCAGTTAATTTTAAAAATTAACTGAATAAGAGCTTTGCATAACTGTAAAATGTTACGGTTACATTCCGGACAAGTACTGTCAAAAACATGGACACATTCTATATACAGGCCAGAGAAATACAATAGTTAAAGTGAGGAAAAAGTACTGTATTCCTGGTAAAGCTAATTAATGGTTTCAGGATAGATATTTACTTCAGACACCTGCTCAAGTGAAGCCTTAGTTGGACCAAAAAGAACTTGTTTTGCCATGACACTGATTTTAAAGTGAGAAAAAAAGAACACAGAGGAAAACAGGAAGGCATCTCTCTGTCAAGGTGTCTTTTAAGTGAACGTGAAGTAAAAACGCAGAGCAGACTTGGGAAGATACAGTACTACGAGGTTTCGCACTAGAAAGTGCTGGTACATGGTGATCCCCCTAAAAAAGGCACTCAGACTCTCTGAAGTATCATTTAAAATGCTATTATTAGAGCTAACTATAAAGAAAGAGGTTAGTACAGATAGCCTTATGTCCTCTTAGACACTGGTAACCCCAAGTTGTGCAGCATCAAACAGGCTTCTGATCCATGCACAGCATTCTGTGCAGGAACCATCCATAGAAGCTACAATAGGATTTGAGCCATTACAGTATTTTCTTACAAGAAAACAACTCTTTTCATCATTTCTACTGCAAAACAGAAAGGACATTCACATAAGAACTTGCTGCTTCACTTAGATAAAGACAAGGAGACACGGGTGGTGTAACTGCTGGTAAAAATTGGGAGCTGTCTGCATGCTTCTCCGTTACAATGCACTGGCTGAGTTTATCCTGCAGCCAGGATAAATAGAAATGGTCTCCAAAACAGAATGACTACACATGGTCAAGTGAGTTTTATCTGTTGAACTCATTTCCTTTACTATTTTTTCTCTACTTAAGACACAGCTAGGCAAGTAGCATTTTTTCATTACAACCATGCTTGTTTCTTACTTTATTTGTTAAAAACTCTTGTGGACGTTTCCATGAATGCACTTCTAGGGATGCTGGCAACTCTATTTTCCCTTCAGGATCCTCAAAGACATGCTACATAAAATATGCATAAACAAAAATGGAACATTTTTTGTTAGTTACAGTATTGTATCCTCCACAGGTTTTAAAATAATATATTGTTATATATATTTAATTCACTTAAGGGGAAAAATAGCATAAAAAGGGACCAACAGTACCTATAACAGAACCAAGAGTGCAAACCCCAAAATGAAGATTCAGCACAAAAGCTGCTCATATTGTTCTGAGAAGTCTAGAACTGCACTAGAATACCAGAACACTAGAACTGCAGACAGTTTCACATGTCCAGAAACTGAGGTGTGCAAAAGAAGAGACTTCAACATTCATTTTTCCAATAATAAGGAAGGGTGCATTTAAGCTTTTGAGTCCACAGAAACTGCAGTGTCCAGAAAAGAGATTGCTCTGATATACTACAACAGTTCAGCTGTTCCCACATCCCCCATTTTAGTTATGTTATGAAATAGATTTTGGGGTTATATTTTTTTAAACCATTAATGTGCACACACTAAGGCACACACATAAGTTAACAGTTCATTTAAGAAGCAACAAATAAAAAATGCACAATGCTTTTAATTTATTATTGAAAAAACTGAAGTGGAAATAATATGTGTGTGTCACACAACTTACTGAAGTGGGACTTTTTCCAGCTTTTTCTTTCTCTTTTCCAACTTTTGCAACATCCCATTTTTCTGCATTGATATCTGCTTCAGTCCATTCTGGCCAAACAGGAAATCTCCACTTCTCGCTGAAAGCATGAAAGATATGGGAATTAATATTTGCCCTGGAAGATAAATAGAGGAGTGAATTAAAATAAACAGTATATTAGGCAAGGGAAGTAGGAAGATTTTTATCTCGTAGAACAGTCTTTTTTAATGTACTGAATAAAAATTTTAGTGTTAGTAACTACAATAACTTTTCTGTCACTAAGATAAGCAAGCCTATAGAAGTGCTGGATGGCACTATTAGGTATAAATCAAGAAAAATATTTAAATGCATTG